CGCGCGCGTGCGCGACCAACACTCGGCGCCTCGACGCGCGCGATGTCCGCCGCGTCGACGCAGCTCGAGTGCGCGCGCGCGGGTCGCTCGACCGCGCGTCGCCTCGACCGCGCGCGCGCGTCGCGAGCTCGGGCGCCGAGCGGTCGATCGCGAGGCGACGCCCGAGGACGTCGTGCGCGCGGTGGTGGATGAACTCGCGACGTCGGCGCTGCGAGCGATCGGTGACGCCGCGCGGGGGGCGATTGGAGGGGGGGAGACCCCGATGGGGTTCCCGAGCGGACCCGCGGGGGACCGCGCGCTGGAGTTGGCGTACGACCCGTTGAGATTTTTGGAGCGCGCGCGAGCGGCGCACGGAGACGCGTGCGGGGTGACGCTCGCGCGGGAGTCCGTGGTCTTGGTGAGCTCGCCGGATCTCGCGAGAAAGGTGCTGCGGGATGAGAATGCGAGTTTTCAAAAGGATGGCACGGCGTTCTTCCCGGGTTCGTCCTTGGCGGGGAACGGGTTGTTGGTGAGCGACGGCGAGACGTGGGCGCGACAGAGACGGTTGAGTAATCCGGCGTTTCGTAAGGCGGCGGTGGAAACGTACGCGCGGTGCATGATCGACGTTGGGAATCGCTTGGTGAGTCAAGAGTGGTCGAAAAGAGGGGTGAGGGACGTGTACGCTGACTTTAACGACGCGACGCTGGAGATTGTTGCCAGGGCGCTCTTCGGAGCGGACGTCGTCGGCGAGCGTGCGAACAGGATCAACGGCGCCATCAAGGATTCGTTTGAATTTTTCGGCAGACGTGCGGCGACTGGGATGATCATTCCCGAGTGGGCGCCGACGTTTGATAACTTTCGATACAACGAGGCGGTGAAACGACTCGATGAAGAAGTGTACGGGCTCATTTCCAAGCGACGTCGAGATATAGCCGCAGGAGAAGAAAAAGGCGATTTAGACTTACTCGATCGTCTCTTACTCGCGACGGACGAAGAAGAGCCGGAATCAAAGGCGTCGGGGATGTCAGACAAGGCGCTTCGCGATGAGCTCATGACGCTTATGGTCGCTGGACAAGAAACGAGTGCAATTTTGCTCTCATGGGCCTGCGCGCTCATCTCTGAACAGCCTGAAGCGGGGGATAAGATCGCGAACGAAGTGCGGGAGCTACTGCAGTCGAAGCCTCCTGGATCAAATCTCGACGCTGGCGATTATTCAAAACTGCCTTACACGGAGGCTTGTATCTTGGAGACGCTGCGTATTCGTCCTCCGGCGTACATGGTGGGACGATGCGCCTCACGGGACGTTGAACTTCGACCTCACGTGTTCATCACTAAGGGGACCACCGTGCTTGTGGCGCCGTATCTCATTCAGAGAGATCCAAAGTATTGGAATGAACCAACATCGTTCAAACCGGAGCGTTGGCTGGTGCAGAGCCCATATTCGGATGGTACACTCGCGCGCGACGCGCTGAAGAATCTCGGACCTAACGACGCATACTTTCCGTTCGGCGGTGGCCCACGAGTGTGCATTGGCACTGGATTCGCTATGATGGAGAGTGTTTTGTTACTCGCCCTTATATGCCAGGCGTGTGAACTTCGACTTCCGCCCAACTCGAGCCCACCAAAACCGAAAGCATTGATCACTCTTCGCCCTGACGCAATCTCTCTGTTGGTCGGTCCTCGACCGCGACGCACTTAGCCTACGTTATAGGTACTACCACAAACTGTAATCTACGAGCTAGCGACTAGGGAATGAATTCGGCTACCAATTATTTCCAAGCTGAATCATTCCGACGGGTGTTTTGTCTCTAATGTGATATTGTGTCCGAAGTATCTCTCGCGCTGGTTGAGATCCTGGAGCACCACCGATCCAAGCGCGATACAGGAAGTCCACATCTACCCTATTTCTTTCACGCTCCACGATTCTGTAATGTTCGTCCAACGCATCGACTAGCTCCTTGTTAGACATCCCCTCGGGAGCCGGAAGCTGACCACCACCATTCAAGCAGCCCGAAGGACATGCCATGATTTCAACGAAGTGATGTTTACACTTCTTCATCTTAAGACTGCGAACCAGGTTCTGGATATTTCTAAAGCCGTAGGCGACGGCGACGCGCAGCACAACTTCGTTGTTAACTGTAAGTGTCGCCTCTCGCATGTCCATGTTACGCAACTGAACCCACTCGATGGCGCCCATTATGGGAGTATTAAAAATCTCCGCAGCTGCGCGACGAAACACGTATTCGGCGTATCCACCAGATCCAGAGACGAAGTGAGCCGCGATTTCACTCTCTGGCGGAACCCTGAATCCGTCACACATCAAATCGTACGCGTAATTTGGTGCTTCACGCAAATGATGCAGACCTGCCTTTTCGAGCAGAACCACTACTTCGCCAGTCGTTAGCACGAGATCGACGTCCTTGACACCTCCACGCATGAAGTCGTCTCGACTCGCCTCGAGCTTTTTGTCATAGCAAGGCATCACGCTCACGTGGTACACACGATCGGGAGACACTCCGAGGTCGCGCGCGACTGCGCTCTTAACAAACGTCCCCATGATTTGCTGCGGACTCTTCGTCGTCGCCATGTGCGGAATCGCCAGCTCACCGTGCGTCTTTTCGGCGTAACACACCCATCCTGGACACGCACTCGCCAAGAGTGGAGTCGGCGCCCCCCCGTTCGCTCTTTCGACGAACTCCGCATACGTCTCTACCAGCGCCAAGTCGCGAGCGCCCGAGATGTCATAGACCTTGTACGCACCCATATCCCTCATAAGCCCCGAAAACTTCGTCCACGTATCCTGCTTATCCAAACCGTACACCTTACCTAGGCTGCACAGTGACTGCGGACTCACGCTCACGACGATGACTCCGAGATTCCAATCGACAATACCGCGACCCATCGAACGCAAACGCTTCCGAACGCTCAAAAACTCATCCACGCTCTGCTGCTCCAACAAAACGCTCTCCGCGCTCGTCACGCACCCCGAGCACGCCAAGCAATCACTCAAAGTCACTTTGACCGCCTCCCCGGTCGGCGCGCGCGTCTCCGGCGCCGAGCGACGCGAACGAACCGCGACCTCACCGGCGTCGCCGAGGTCGTCGATTCGCACGCGGCCACCGTCGAGCGCGACGACGCAGTCCTGGGAGGGGGCGATGTAGTCACTCAGGGCGTCTGGGGCGATCTTCACCGCGCCGCTGAAGGACATGGCGCGCGGGGTGGTGGCGTGCTCGCGCGCCGCACTGTCGTGGGCAAGTTTCGGCGGCGCGCGCGGAGGCGCCTCGACAGCAGTGAATGTTCAACAGCACGGTTCGGATTAAAAAGGAAATCACGCGTTGGGCTTGCTCTTTTTCCGCGCATTGACGGTAGATTGGCAGTACGCGCCGACGAGTGTCTTGATCTTTTCCTTGCGCTTGCTCGTCATGAACGCCTTTGCGGTGTCGTTCATGCCTCCAGAATTTTCTAAAATTTTGTCCACCACTTTTTCCTCCAGTTTCTTGCATTCAGCCTTCGTGACGATGCCGCGATCGCGCTTGTCTTGAAGCTGTTCGTGGACGTAGTGACGGACCTGCTTTCTGACTCGCGCATGATACTCGTCAAGCGAAACTCCCGGGTTGTCATCGTCGTCATCATCATCCGCCTCAGTGACCGCCTTGCGCTTCTTGCTCTTCTCCTTCGTACGCGCGCGCTTTTTAGTGGCAGCGTCATTGAACGCATCAAAGGATGCGATGACATCTTTTTTCTGGATGCTTCGACCGATTGACGCTGCAGCCTCTGCCTCGCGCGCGGCTACTTGCGCCTCCTCCGCCAAACGCATGGCCTCTTCTAACTGCACTTGGGCGTTATCGGCCGCGGCTCTGGACGCTCGCGCCGCCTGGCCCTCCGGTAAATCTTGTGCGGCGTTGATAATTGCATCACGCTTAGCCTTGATTTGCTCCGCATTCAGCGCCGGATTGACTGCCACAACTTGTGCTTCGATGGCCTCTTCGACTTCGTCCACGGCAACGTCTACCTCCGCCTTTGCTAAGCCGAGCAAGACAGCCGCTCCCAATCGAGACGGCTTCTTTCGCTGCGGAACGACTAATTTTTTCTTCTCTTCTTCCACGTCGTCGATGGGCGGCAATCCAGCGGACTTTCGGCTGAGAGCTTGCATCCACTTGTGGCCGCACTGACGTGCAAGTAAGCGAAGCTCTCCGTTTTCATGAGTTTGGAAGCGGTTCTTGAGCGTTTTCGGCACGCCGCTCGCTCTGAGCGCTGCTAGGTCTGAAGGAATCGCCAACAGCAGCTCCAGCATGCGCTTCGTGTAGAGTACTGACTCTGCATTTTTCATGTGCGATTTAGACTCTAGCAGCCATTCGTTCAGCATCGCTAAGCCTTCATGCTTCAGCGCCCAGTCTCTGCGATCCGCGGCGCTCACGACATCCAAAAGAGCATTAATCATTGCTCGACGTCCTGGCAATGTTCTAAGTTTTAGCATAATCGTGGCGAACTCAACAGGCACGTCCACTTGCTCACCAGTATCCACCGCAGACAGGAGTCGGTAAACAATCTTAGCTTCCTCCTTACCAGCGTCGGCGAGGAAATCCTCTTGAACGCGTCGTCGGTACACCTCGGCCGGGTCAATAATGTGATCCATCGGGTTCTCGACATCATCCATCTCGTACTCTACATCCACCTCACGTTTTGCAAAGTTGGCGCGCCACGCCTCAAGGTCGAAAATTTCATCGAAAATTTCCTCGCCGCGGACGATGCTGAGTGCTTGGCGGGCCGCTCGCCAACCGGTCAGCATCGCTCCCCCGACGGTATCCGGATGCTCCTTGCACGTGTGTTCTCCAGCGAATAGAATTCTACCTTCTGGTTTGCCGAGATCATCGTAATCTGCGGCTCCCTTGGAGGCAGTAGCGACGTAAGAGTAAGATCCTCGCGCGTACGGATCCGATTGCCAGCGTGTGACGAGCGACTGCTTCAGCGGCGGAAGCTTGGACGGATCTTGCGGAAAGCACGCCCTCGCGAGCGTGTCCAACACGGATTTTACTATCGACTCCTCACCTTCAGTTTCGGCAGTTTTCGCAGCATCGCCTGAGATTAGAGAAATCAACATCGGTTTGCCGCTCACCGGCATTAAGTTCCAGAACATGAAGCTGCGTCCTCGAGTCTCCTCGCCATCAATAGCGCAGCCGAAATAATCAACGGACTGATCCCAAAACGCTTCGTCAAACTCGAGGACAACTTTGTTGAGGTTACCATATCCAAGTCGTTCAATCGCACTCGATTTCATTTCTCCGAGAGGCGGATTGAATTTCACATCACCCTGCTTGAGGCACCCAAGAGGGACTGTGACGATGACGGAAGCGCCTTCGAGCACCTGCCCATCCCTTGTTTCCACGACAATGCCGTTTGAGTCATGTTTGACTTCAACAACGGGCATGTTGAAACGAACGTCCAAACCCTCTGCGATGCGTGACATGATAGTGCTGTAACCACCACTCACCATGCAGTGCGGTCCACCGAAACCACCGTACATTTCGTCTTGATTCCAGTGCGGCAACGAGATATCATTCAGCGACGCACTGCAACCGTACTCAAGGTTGGCCCAGTGCCAGTCAAGTAAACGGCGCTCCGTCTTGCCCATGCGAGCGGCCTGTTCCAGTCGCACATTTGCATGAGTTTCACTATCATCGCTATCGTTGCCGTCATCTTGCACAAGTTTCAAAAAGTAATTTTCAGTCGCGTCCTTGAGAGCTTCTCCGAGCGACACATTCATTACTTCGCTCTCTCCGCTCGAATCCACTCTCGCGCGGGCCTCATCCATTACCAAATCGCGAATGCGATCGACTTTCTCATCAATATCCTTCGAGAACTGCTCGCCCGTTTTCATGTCGTAGATCGGACAGCCCTCACGAAGCTCGACCAATTGCAAACCGAGTTGCTTTGCGATAACGCCGCTCGGATCCGCACGAACGCCGAGCCACGGCATCGCAGTTTTCCTCTTCGGATCTTCGGTGACACCGGTGACGATGGACGCCCCGAGATCGACTGGAGCGCTGAAAGTCTCTGCGTCGGTGTGCACGCGTCCTCCCACGCGATTACGCGCCTCGAGTACGATAACTTCTCCGCCTTGGTTATGAATCATGCTCGCCGCTGCAAGACCGGCGGGACCAGCCCCGATAACGATCGTCGGCCGCGCGTCGACGATGGGCGGTAACGGAGGAATCATAACAGTCCCCTCGCTCGCGGTGTCCGCGAACGACTCCGGATCGGTCAAGAACTTTTCAATCGTCTCCTTAATCTGCGGCTTAAACTCCTTCAGCTCGACGCCCATGCGCTCCTCGAGTCGAACTCGAATCGCCTTCTCCGTATCCACCGCGAGATCTGCCTCTTTGAGCACGATCAAGAGCTCTCGCACGACGTCGTTCTCGGTGATCTCCTTCACCGCCTCTGGCGCCTCCGCCTCGTCGCCCTCGCGCTCGCTCGCGCGCCTAAAGATCCCGTAATTGATCCCCCCGTTCGCCTCTAACCATCGATGCACTCGCGCCGCTCGCTCAACCTCGTCCTTCGACGACGCTCCCGCGAGCTTCACCACGTCCTCCACCTTAACCTCCGTCCCGCACTTCCCCGCGATCGCCCATCGCTCGAGCGCGGCGTTTCGCACGCCCATCATCGCCCCCTCCTTGCTCGCGCCCTTGACGTCATCCCCGTGAAACCGACCCTCGCTGAAAGACATTCGAACGTGATCGACGCCCGCGTGCGCGGCCGCGTGCGCGCTCGCGGGCGGTTCACCGTTCGGGTACGATGCGAATTCGTCGTCCGATCGCTCGTCGTCGCTGTACAGCTCATCGAGGACGAACCGCGACGTTCTTCGGCGGAACGCGAACGAGCGCGCGTGTCTAGACATTGCTGAGGACGGTCCGCGAGGTTCACGCGACGCGATACGGAAGCGCGACGCGTTGAGAGGCGGGTAGTGACGGAGGAATGAGATTTTCCTCGACCGGGACGATGCGAATAATCAGACTTTTACATCCGCAGTGTGCGACGCGTGCGAAGACGTCGGCACCGTGACGCGCCCGTGAGGCGACAAAGTGAGCGTGTGTCTTCGTGAGCGGTAAAAAGCGTCTTTAGAGGCGTTGCGTCGGCGCTGAGGACGACATCATGGTGCGGTTTAATCATTCCGAGGACCAGTCCTCGCCCGCGTCTTCGTCGACAACGAAGCGGAGGGACCTGTACGACGTGCTCGGACTCGCGAAATCTTCGAGTGTGACTGGATCGGACATACGGAGGGCGTATCACAGGTTGGCGCGCTCGCATCACCCGGATAAAGTGCGAGGCGACGACGAAGCCATCGCGGAGGCGACGCGCGCGTTTCAAGAGATCGGACACGCGTACAGCGTCCTGAGCGATCCCGAGCAAAGAAAGACGTACGATGAGATCGGAATGAAGATGTTCGAGAATCCGGGAGCGAACGATCACTTCGAGGCGGAGATGGCGAGGATGAAGTATTGCGAGGCGCTCGGCATTCGCGAGTGCGTCGTCATGGAGGTGTGGTGCGCGTTGGAGGAGCTCTTCACCGGGTTCGAGCGAAGGATGGGGGTGATGGTGCTGGGCGTGGACGAGCGAACGCGTAAGGCTGTGCCGATGAATCGGATATTCACGCTTCGCGTCCATCGAGGCTGGAGAGACGGATTTGAGGTTAAGTTTCAGCCGAGCGGGAGCGACTTGCAGAGTGTGATGTTCGTCATTCGGGAGAGACGTCATGAGAGATTTGAGCGCGCGAACGCGGGTTTCGATCTCGCGACTTGGATCGCGCTCGAACCCTCCCAAGCGGTGAATGGGTGCGTCATCACTACAAAGAGTATTAGTGGGCGGGAGATCAAACTAGCAGTCAAGCCGAACTCGGACACGATTCGCAAAGGGGAGAAGAAAGTCATCAAGGGCGAGGGATTTCACATTCCCGGGTCAAATCAGAGAGGAGACTTGATTATCTATTTTCGTGTTATGAATCGTGTGGAGGCGTATCTCAGACAAGGCACAGGTTGGCGCATGAAATGGGTGAAACGCGTCGCCATCGGCTTGACCATTTGGATCGCGCTCAACGTAGCTAGCGAGATTTTGCTGTACTACGTGGAGGACATACTGATGTTTCGAGGAATTCCAGACGCTTTCTTGCTCGATCAGTTTCCTGCGTATTACGGCGAATTCGACACCTCGTGGTGGTGGCCGAAAGTGAAGGTTCCACAGCAACTCGTCAATGATGCCACAGGACGAGCGCTTGGAGGCCTTGCACACTACCATATGTCAGACGTACCTAGCCGAGCGTTGCTTCGCGCGATAGTACAGGGAGGGGTCATGACGAGGCCGAGAAGATAGAATTGAGCGAAGAAGAACCGCAGAACATGAGTAGAGAGTTTAGAGAATGATTGCAAAACGCAAACGCTAGAATTGCCTAACTTCAATCTGAATCACTATCCGACCCACTCTCGCTGGAATAGAAGCTCTCGGGTTTCGCCTTACCCACTGGTCGAGGTGGTAAGTCGTATGGCTTCACCTCGGGAGGTCTGTAAGATTGAACTTCGGGCGGCCTCGAAGTTTGGTGCGACATTTGTTGATATGACGCTACACCCACTCTGCTCGATCCACTCGCTCCACCGTGCGCGAGGGAGGTGTTGTCGAGCTTCGCCGCCAAACCCTTGAGCGTTCCAGATAGCCATCCCTTCGCGGACTCTGTAGCCGATTTCATCTTCGACTGCCAGTCCTGCGGCGGTGGCGGAAGAGACGATGTGTTACCGAATCCTTCGTACTTTGAAGAGCCAGATCGCCCGAGATTTGAACTCCCATGAAAGTATGATTGCTGCGGAGAATAAGAGGGTTTTTTCTTCTCAGGAACAGCATAAACAGACGCAGATGCGTCGGGATTCGACAGCATGCGCTCGCGAGCCAACGCTTTCGCCGCTTCGCCGGCCTCGCGCATTCTTCGCTCCAAATCCGTCTCGTTCTCGTTCATCTTCTTTTCCTTCTTTTCCTTCTTTTCCTTCTTCTCCTTCTTCTCCTTCTTTTCCTTCTTTGATTTCTCCACACTTTCATTGAAGAATTCATCTGTGCCACCGGTACTACTGCTCGCATCCTCGAATGGATTCAACGTCTTCAAATCGCTCGCGGCTGAATTCACCGCGACGTTACTCGAAGCCTTGGGCACGTGTTTCTTCCCCGATCGCGGAGGAATTGGCAATCCAGACATCGCCGCAACGACTTGCGCGCGCTCTTCGTCCGTCATGTTCTTGAGGTGGTACGTCCTGTCGTCCTGAAGACTCCGCTTGAGAAAGTCCACCCACTGATACGGCGTCATTCCGCTCAAAAATTCCCCTGGTTTTGCCCCCTTCGGCAGCGGCGGCGGCGGCGGCACCCACCCATCGTCATCGGGTTCGTACCTCTTACTCACGAGTGACCCTTGACCCGTGGATAAGTCGTACCCCGTCTTCGACACGTTCGCCTTCGCGCTCGCCTTATCGCGTCCGCTCGACTCCCCGTCCCCCGGTTGCGCCTCAAACTGAAACAACTCCATCGACGACCCACTCGCGCTCTTCCCTCTCGCCCCCCCCCCCCCGGTTTTCCCACCCGACGACTTCAACCACTTCGGCCGTTTCCACTCTCCACCGTTCGCCACGCACTTCACTCGCTCTCGCCACGCCCGCGCGGCGTCGCTCTCGTACTTTGCCCGCGCCGGCGTCCGCGCGTCCGTCCCGTACCGCTCCATGAACGCGTTCATCTCTACGTTCCCCCCCGCGCGCATCGAGTTCAACTGATCGACGCTCCACGAGTCCATCGTCGCGCTTCGCACGAAGCTCACGTGGACCCCGAGCGAGCGATGGATCCCACTGCAGGAGAGGCACAGGAACGCCCCGTGATTGACGCTCGCCCAATCGGGATTCGCCCCGCCGCAGTCGGCGCACGACCGGTTCTCCGCGCGCGTCATGAGTTCGTGCAACGCCATTCGGGCGTCGGCGCGCATCGCGCGCGCGGGCGTGCGGTCGCGCGCGCGCGCGCGCGATGGCGTCGTCGTCGTGCACTGCTGCATACTGTTCGCCCACACGAATCGTCCGTGCAGGCGCAACACCAATGGGGCGATCGCGTTCGCGGCAATCGACGCCGCGCACGCGACCGCGCGCGCGTCGAAGGCTCGATCGGGGTGAGGACGACGCGAAGGCGTCGTGGACGACGCGAGCGCGCGAGAGAGAGAGAGAGAGGGACGGGCGCGAGCGACGCGCGGGGACGACGCGATTGTGGTGTGAATTTCGGCTGAATTAGCGACACGCCGCGGACGACGACGAGGATCATGGCGTCGGTCGAGGACGGCGCGGCGCACACGCTGTCGATGGACGTGAAGGTGGTGGATGGGATGGTGCCCAAGGCTGAGTTCGATCGAGCGATCGAGGCGGCGCAGCAGGCGCTGCGGGCGAAGACGGCGTCGAGTCAGCAGATGCTCGCGCAGGCGTCGGGGGCGATGCGAAACGCGCTCACGGCGCTGAGCCTGAGCGAACAGGAGGTGGCGAACCTGAAGGCGACGGTTAAGGAGCTGCAAGAGCGTCCGGCGGAGGGGACGAACGAGATTATCGAGCGGGAACGGGAGGAGCTGCGCATGGCGCAACAACGCGTGGCGGACCTATCCTCGGCGTTCCGACAATTGCAGGGTGAGGTGGCGCGCGTGCGATACGAACAAGAGGGTTTTGATATGCCGGTGGGAATGTCGCTACCGGTGAAGATTGCCCCCGAACTCTCGAGCAGAGTGACGGTGATCGCGCAGTTGGTCATGTTGGGATATGCGTATGAAGACGGTGAAATGGCTCTGGACGCCATCCGCGTGAACGATTTACACTTGGCGCTGGAATGGCTCGAGGGTCGACACGCCACGAAGACGCAGTTTTCCATCAATCAGCGCAGAGCGGCGATGCTGGATGATACGATAAGATCTCCTGCGTTGGATTCACCCACAGAGGCGCGACGCATCACAACCACAAACGAACGAACGACAACAACGCGCGCAAAAATCCAGCCGATCAGGGATCCAAAGAGCGTAGAACAGCCGAAAATTGCGCCAATAGAAACGGAGCGCGTGCGTGTCATCGCGCGCACGAATACTACACAGCGGTTGAAAGTGGAGCGAGGTCGACTGAGCATGTATGAAGCTCGCAAGCGCGCCGTTTCTTCAATGATTTGCATGGCTATCAACCCTCCGGGCTCGATGCGGGGACTCTCAGCGGGAAACATTCGCAGTGGATTCACGGCAGAAGAAATTGCTGAGCGTTGCATCGCCGGGCTCGCTCGACTCGCACAGCGCTCCGGATCTTTTATGATCCTCTCTTTGGGGGGTAATCGATGTGCCTTCGATTGCGTGAAACTTTACGGCAAAAATCCACGCATGGTTATCAACTGCTTCAGGTTGATGAGAGCTCTTGCGAGTAATCCTATCACAATGATGCATGTTAAAAAGCAGCAGCGATTCCGACTTCTTCCAACCACTGTCTCTCAAGCTGTTGGCTTACACGAACAGAATCTTGAAGTTGTTAGCGAGGGTGCTCACACACTTTGGGCTTCGAACACGCTCGGAGGTAAGGTGTCTCAAGAACGCTGTAAATCGTCCGGAATTTTGCGTTACGTGAAAGCGGCACTGGTGAATCCTCAAAATCAGTCGAAGGATCCAGACGGAGCGCATCGGAAGAACATGATCGGTATGCTCTTGTCCATGGCAAACGAGAACAAAACGATGCAAACGTTCTTTGTGAAAGAGGGCTATAGAGCAATCATACGAAAGGTCCTCCACGATTTTCCCGCAGTCAAGTTCGGTGGTGAATTCTCATCAATGAGCGACTGGCTTACAGAGGAGTACAATTCGCCATCTTTTGCTCCTGATGACGGCGAGCTGAACGCTCCCGCTAAGGCTGAGCGTGACAACAAGAGCGTATCAGCGGTCAAGAATTATCAGAAGGTCGCTGGTCACCAACAACGCGCAGCCCTGATGCGTGACAAGGCAAAAGCTCGTGGCGTGAATCCAGAACAAATGTATATGGCGAAGAAACGAGTCGTTACGATGCTTTGCAAAATAGCGCTCAATCCGCCAGGCTCTGTCCAAGGCGTATCAAAGGCTGAAAACGAGGAAATTGCGTACAGATCTTTGCTCGCACTCGCACGCATCACCGAAAAGGGCTCTGGTTACCTCGTTCTTACAAGCGGCGGTCCTCGCACAGCCGTGGACTGCATACGTTACTACATTCACAACGCAGACATAATGTACGCTTGCTGTCGTATCTTACGCGATTTGCTCACAAATCCTTCTACAATGATGCACCTCGTGAAGCAGGTTCGGTTCAAGATTCTACCATCTGCCATCATGGACGCCGTCGCGCGGCACGTGAATGACTTGGAAATGAAATCCGAAGCCGCTCATGCCCTTTGGGCGTATACTGGAGTTGGAGGTGAGCCAGCGCAACAGACGCTGATGGACTGCGGCCCGTTGGTTTTGGATTTCCTCAAGGACGGACTCGCCGAGGCTCGCGCCGATGTTAGTTCAAACCAGTACCTCTCGACGGTTCGTAAATTCATCGGGTGCATTCTTTCTCTGGCGAAGGACAACAAAGATGCTCAAGATAAACTTGTCGCGGTTGGGTTACGCAGCGCTACACGCAAGGCGCTGAGCGAACATCAGAGCATTTCCTTCCACGGAGAATTCAGCGCTTTGCGAGACTGGATCAGAGGTGATAGAGGTGGAGCTAAATCCACTTCTCGGAGCGCCGCTGTGTCACGAACGGAACGCAACGCTGCGGAAACTGTACTTGGGTCAGGTCAAGGCGAAGGAATGAACGTCCCAGTTGACCATATAAAAGCCCAACAGCTTTTCGCGCATGAGGATGAACGTCAAATGAGCGGTACACAAAGCCCATCCCTAACGAGAGCTGTCAACCAGCAGGAACAACATCGACATGAACTAACGGATTCAAATACGCAAGAAGTCAAGAATGCGTTGCAAAGCGTGCTTTTGAAACAGGACAACGAAGATGGACGGAACTTTAACGTAACAACGGAGACGATGGTGGAGACGACAACGACGACGAAGATTGAAAAGTTGCAAGGAAGTAATCGCGATTCATCGGTTGCAATGCATGACCAGTGGAATATCAACGAGTGCATCTCTATTCTGAAGGCTCATGACAATCGATTGCACAAGCGAGCGTCAGAGCGTGTCGCAGAAATGTTCTCCGATGAACCCACCACTGGCATCGCTTTTGTCCTGAACGGTGGTCTCGATGCGCTGATGCACGCGCTGTCGAGCGGCAACGGGACGTTCGCCGCTGGCGCATGTGCGTTGATCCATATGCTCTGCTCGAGCGATTTAGCGTTGAGACGCTGTCAGTCCGCCGATTCGGTGCTCAGTGGAACATTGTTCAGCGCTATAATTGAAGCCATGTCAACTTGGCCCAAGAATGTTCCTTTACAGCAGTGGGGCCCGACCGCATTGTGGGCGCTCCTCAAGGACAATGCTCGCGCAAAGGCGTCCTTCCTACTCATCAAGACCTCCCACGGTGAAGCGGGTCTCAGAGTGCTGAAAGATTCTCTGAAGGCTGGCGCAGATTCAGAGGCAGTCGTTCGAGCCAACGTCGGATGCTTGCTGTCATTGGCTATGAACTCTATTCCTGCACAGAAGATGATCGGCGATTTGGCTTTGCCGAATGTGATTCTCTCCTCTCTATCACGGCACCCCACGATATCATACAGGGGGCAGTTCGATAGCCTCAGAGAATGGCTTCGCGATAGCGCTCGGCGGGAAGAAGAGATCGCAAGAGACGTGTCGTTCCGACAGTAGAAGAAAATAGCGCACCGGTAGCGGTTCTGTAATGTCAAGGCATGCATACGATTCATAAGGCTGACCTATGAGGACATCGCTGTTCGGGCAAACGCTGGACCGCGCTCAATGGTCCACCGTTGGTTCTTAAGAGATCTCTTAAGAACCAACTGTTCTCACGCGTCTGGCGCGAACACGATCACGCTCCCTTTCCACGCGCTCGATCGCAGTGGCAAAGATCGAAATCCTATCAGCGCGTCCTCGGCGGCTATAAATGGTCGCTTGTACTCCACGTCGTGATCAATAGACACGCGCACGCCGAAACGCCTCCACTTCGTCGTCGTCTCTTGCGCGATGGCGTCCAAACGCCGCGTCAACTGTTCCTCCGCCTTCGTCGCGCTTCCCATGCAGCAGCACAGGTATGCGCAACAAAACGGCGCCAAAACCACCGTGAATACCGACATCAACGCGCAAAAGGTGGAAATCACCGGCGCGGCGTCGGCATACGCGCGTTTCACGTCGCGCAAAAATTCATCAAACTCCTCCTGACTCACACCCTTGCTCTCCAACGACGGCGCCACGTCCACGCTCGAGCGCATCTTCGTTTGCGACTCCGAGGCGGGCGCGAACGCCAACAAACTCTCCGCTTTCCAGCATGTGTTTTCGAACACGCGCGAGAGGGCCGTGCGCGAGTGAAAATCAATCGGGAGCCGCACGACGCCATCGGGATGACGCGTTTCGGGCGGTGGATACGACGGCGGTGGCGCCTCGTTGTGATGTTCGGACATGTCGAGTCGACGACGACGGGCGCGGTGCGGTGGTTCCGCGCGCGGTGCGGTGCGACGCGCGCGGCGACGCGTCGGTGTGCTTCGTTCGACGCGTGGAATAACCAACTTGGACGCGTTTTGCTTGGTTCGACGCCTGGAATATTCAACTTCAAACACTCATACTGGTACAAGGAAGGGCGCAGCCGTCTCTTCAGGAGGCGCCTGTTCACGCGCTCCGGGAAACGCGCGTGGCCTAGGCGCGAGCGGCTTTCGCGCGATTTTTTCTCGCGGTGAAACGCGGTTTCGGTTTCTCTTTGTATTTCGGGGGCTCGAGCTGCCAGCGCGTGTTGGTTCGCTCCCCGTACGACGCGAGTTTTTCGACGCCGTCGGGACCGATCATGTTGCTCCGCAGATCGATCTCCTGAATGACTTCGTTCACGCTTAACGTCTTGGCGATGTAACCGGCGCCCTCGTCCGTGATCTCGTTTCGCTGCAAATCTAGACCGACGACAGTCCCGTTCTCCTCAAGCGCTTCGGCGATTTCCCACGCGCCTTCATCGTAGAGCTCGTTGTACCCGACGTTGAGCTGAATGAGCGCGGTCTCTTCCAAAAGAAAATCCGCTATATCCTTCGCGCAATCCGCGTGCAGCGCGTTACCACGCAAGTTCAAAATCTCCAGCGTCGTGTTCGTTTCCAGAGCCTTTGAGAGCGCCTTGAGTCCGGAGCGATCGCCACGCAAACCAATGTTGTTGCACGCAAGATTTACACTCTTCAACCGCGTAGAGTTGATCATATCTGCAATTGCCTTAGTGCCCTCCGCACCGACAACGTTGCAGCCAAGATCCAAGTGCTCTACGTTGGTACCCACCAGGGCTTGCATGAGAGCTCTGACTCCATCTGGTCCGATGGAGTTGAAACCTAAGAGAACGACGCGCAAATTTGGTGCTGCGCCACGCGACAACGCGTCAGCGAACGCGATAACACCGCGATCACCGAATCCGTTGTGCGCCAAGTCGATTCGTCGAAGTGTTGCCGACGTACCAGCGCCTTTACCAAGCGCCTCCATTCCTTCAGAGCAAATGCCGTTCCCTCTGAGCGTCAAACGAGTTATTCGAACCTCTGGATGCTCGAGTGCCTCACCGATGGCGATCGCTCCGCGGCTTCGCACATCGTTCGATCCGAGATCAAGCCATCGAAGTTGACACGTTCCGTTGTCAGCTGACGTTTTGATGGCTTCGGCCAAGCTCACTGCGCCATCATCCGAAACATTCACCTTGCGCAACGCGAGCCGCTTCAAGTCCCAACCTTGCGCGAGCACTTCTGCGACGGCGCGTGCGCCGTCGTTCGACACTCTCAAGCTCCAACTCGCATCAAAAGATTCAACTTTTCCTGGTCCATTTGAGGCTGCCGACACAGCCGCCGCTCGAACGCTACCAGGATCCGAACTGTGCAGCTTGAGGCGACGAACGTACAACTGCGGAATAGCCAGCGTCTCTGCGAGTTCTCGTACGTTATCGTCGTATACATCCACATACTTCGCCGTGGGATCTCGTTTAACGGGATCGTACATAATCTTGTGACCCAAGTCGCACGTCAACCTTCGAAATTTTGATCCCAACGCCTTGACGCACGCGTGGACGTCCTTTGTGGTCATCTTCCCCATCTCTCCCATGTCCACCGCGCAAAACTCTCGCAAACTCTCGCACGAGCTCATAACCTCCAACATATCTGCCTTGTTCAGCCCACGAACTCCGCTCACGTCCAATTCCCTGAGCGTCTCCTTCGCCAACGCCCGAAGCGTCGCCAACGCTTTACGCACGTCGTCGCCCTTTTGCAGCTTCACCCGTCCCCACGCCGCCGACGCAATCTCCGAATCTCGTCCCACCAGCATCGCCCGCTCTCCTCTCCGCGTCGCCGCCAACCGCGCCACATCCCTCGGCGCCAGGTGTCTCAAAATCTCCAGCGTCGCGTCCGCCGGCAGATCGCTCAGAAACGTCCCGCGCGTCTCCCCAGTCCCGAACTCCTCCGACGGCTCCTCTCGCCGCTCTCGCAGCGCCCGCCGCTCCGCCGCTCTTCGCAATCTCCGCGCCCGCGCCGCGTGCGCCCACGGTCGCCCACCTCCCTGCGCCGCGCTCGGCGGTTTTTCATCGAACGCCGCGCCGTCCGACTCGCGCAACTCGGCGTCGGACCAATCGGATTCGCTCGCCGTTCCCTCGTCTTCCGCGTCCGACGACGACGCGTCGCGGGCGAACAGCGGGGCGAGCGACGCCGAGCGGTGGAGACGCTCGGCGAGCGCGTCGACGGACATCGGCGTCGAGGCGTGGGGACCGCGGGCGCGTCGCGCGATGCGGCGGGGTAGGGTTTAGGGGTATTCTTAGGGTTTAGGGTTGAGTCCCACCTCGACGCATCGCGCGCCATCGTTCGAGCGACGACGCGCGCGCCGCACGCCTCGCCTCGATGCCCGCGCGACGGCCGCGACGACGGCGGTCCACCGTGGGCGAGCGGTGCGGGTGGCTCGCGTTCGCCGCGCCCGCGATCGCGCTCGCGACGACGATGATGCGACACGGATGGAGACGGAATGGATTCGTGGGCGCGACGTTAGCGACGCTGGCGTGCGCGATGGCGCTGCCGTTCTGGCGTGCGCTGCGTGGAAGACCGGTGTTTGCGTTTTATGGAATCGCGCTGCGGCGGTATAGGCGACGAACGGGCACGCGCGCGTTCGAGGAGGCGACGGGACGGGCGGCGACGCTCACGGAGGCGTTGCGGGACGCGGCGCCGGCGTTGGCGAAGGAGTTAGCGTCCTTCGTGCGAAACGTGTGCGAGGGAGTCGAGGGGGGGGGAGAGGGGAAGATGGGAGATCGACAGCCGAGCGAACGATTGCGAGACGCGGGATGGGGGTGGATACCGTTGCACGACGAGACGCTGGACGCGGCGAGTCGGTTGGCGATGAGGTGCTTTCCAAATGCCACGGCGGCGATGAGCTCGGTTGGGGGATTCAACGGGAAGATTTGGGTGCTGCGTCCAGGCGCGGGCGGGGCGACGAGCGTCACCGGGCGCGTCACGACGGGACTCTCGGACGGGTACTGGAGAGCGCACGTCGTCCTGGCTCGAGACGCAGGACTCCACGGGAAAGCTGCGGGTTTGCGATCGGGCGACGAGACGCGCGAACTCGAGATGGGATCGATACACATCGTGAATGACTTCCATCCGAGCGCGTTTTGGAACGTGTCCAGGGACGCCGGGTTGGTGTTGCTGTCATTTGATGTGGCCACGCCGGAGTACGAATCGTGTCGCTCAGCGCTGGTGGAAACGCGAGCTAGGCTCACTCGTGCTTTCGGCGCGACGTCCGACGATTACGGCGCGGAGTCGAACTTGATCGCGTACATGTGGCGCGTGTTCTCGCTCACGCTCATCAGCAATCTCTCTTAGTTCACAAAAATCAATACAATCAATACGCGCGTTAGTTGAATCCTGGCAGAGTCGTGACGCGCGAAATAAAAGCTAACTCGCATTCGCGCGCGCGAGATCACCCCGTCCTATCGTTGGCGTCGTCCACGTCAGCGTCGTTCGCGTCAGCGTCGTCCGCACTCACGTCCTGGAGACCTAGAAAATCGGCATAGCCCAACCATCCAGAGTGTCTGTAGTACTGTCCCGGTCGTTCCGGTATCCTGTGCGGCAGACTCTCGACGTTTGCCCACCAATCCTGCTGACTCTTGAATCCCATCGATCGCGCCCACGCTCGCGCCGTCTCGAAATCCACCGATGTACCGCACCAATCGTCCCATCCGCGCCACCCGTCGTCCGCGTAACACTTGTCCGGCTCTCGCGGTATGAAAACGCACCCCCTCCGCGAGTTATACGCCCAGTCCCTGAAGTCCTCCTCTCCGCGCAGGTGTAGGTGCCACACGAACTTTCTCGCCGGTTCGAACTGCAGGACTCTCCGCCCTAACCAAATTTTCTTCCGTCCCAAACCATTCTTGCCGAAACTTTCGTCCGGCTCGACGTCCAGACGCACCTCGTCGACGCCGCGGGAGGAACGAGCGACGACGCGACGACGCGTGAGGTCGCAACGGCGCGCCGGTGGGTGTGCGACGCGCGTGATCGTCGTCGCGGACGTCATCGGGTCGAGAAGTGCGGATGGGTGTCGCGGCGGTTGGGTGAGTTGGTTACGCTCGCGTGTCTACCTCGAACGACAAAAGACTAATCATCAGATTCGCCCGGGGGCGCGGCGCCGCCGCCAGCGCCGGCGAACTTGGACATGATAATCGTGTCAACGCGGAGGACGGTGCAAACGGCGTCGACGGCGTACTTGAGGGCCCAGTGTTTGACGAGGAAGACGTCGTAGATGCCTTGCGTCGCGCCGAGGTCGATGTGCGACGCGTCGCCAGTGATGTCAACGCCCGCGCTGATGTCGCCATTAGCGTGCGCGGCGTAAAGGTTGTAAACACAATCCGTGGCGTTCACGCCCGCGTTCTCCGCGAGCGTTCGCGGAACCACCTCCAATGCCTGCGCAAACTTTTGAATGGCGTACTGGTCTAATCCTGTTTGCTTCCGTCCAAACGCAGCCAGTCTGTGCGCAAGTTCGATCTCGGTCGCGCCTCCCGCCGGAAGTGTTCGAGAGTCCTTGGTCAGTGCCTTGACCGCGTTCACACCGTCGTCAACCGCGCGTTCCATGTCATCGAGCGCGCTCTCAGTGGAGCCGCGCAAGACGACGGTGGACACTCGGGATGTGTGATCGTCCTGGGAGACCACGATGCACTGCGTCCCACCGATCTCTCGAACTTCGATGCTCGAGGCGAAACCGAGTTCGTCAGCCTCCGGGCGGCCGAGCTTGACTAATGCCCTCGAGTTCGTCGCCCGGCACAATCGACGAAGCTCAAACTTGGACGGAACTTTAATAGCCATCAAACCGTAGCGCTCAATGAAATGGATCGCCATCTCGCCGAACGATTGGCCGGTAACAACCACCTTGGCGCCCGCGTCGGCGATATCCTTGATGTACTCCTCCATTTTCGCCTCCTCGCCCTTGCTGTACGCCTCGAGCTCCTTGGCGGACGAAATCAAAACCGTCCCCTTGGTCTCCGTCGTAGACGTGTCGACGGCGCATCCGAACACCACGACCTTTGCGTTCTTAACCGAGCGAATCGTGCCTTCGACGCCGCGGCGAATCACCATACCCTGCACGACGGAACAATCAGACAAAGAGCTCCCAGGAATCTTCGTCGTTCGCACGTTGTCGACGTTGAAATTCATCGCGTTTTTCGGCAACACGTCAACGCACGCCTCGGCGATTACCGCGGACAACTTATGCTCGAACCCATGCTGCTTGGAACTCAGCGTTCCCTTAATCCGACCGGCCACCGCCTTGACGTCACGCACGTCCAGAACCTCGCTCCCGTCGATCACGAGCTCTTCCATCCACGCCAACGCCTTGGCCGCCGCTTTTTCGTATCCCTCAACGATTTCACTCGGGTGAAGACCTTCGCGAATGAGCTCCTCCGCCAAACCCAAGAGCTCACCTCCGAAGCTCACGACGAAGTTGGTCCCGTCCCCCATCTCCCGTTCCTGAGACTGCGCCGCCATGACGACCAACCTCGCCGCCGGGTGCGCCACCTCAAGCTCTCTCACGATCACCGCCGCGTCGCTCGTCACGAAGAGCTTCTCCAGGTGATTGATCACCATCTTATTCATCCCGTTCGGTCCGAGCGACGTCCGCGTGATCTTCGACAGCTGCCTGCACGCCTCGATATTCTTTATCACCGCCTCCTCCAAGCCGCTCAGGTGCTTGTGCCCATCCTACGCATACAAAACAAACGTCTTCCGTCAGTCTCCGCGCCGCGCGCGCGCGTTGACTCGCCGGATCTCCGTCGCGTTCGCGCCCCTTCCGTCGCCTCCTTCACTCCCCTCGCGCGCGCGCGCGCGCACGCGTCCACGCGCGTCCACGTCACGTCATCCATCGTCCATCGACGCCTCAGCGTCGTCGTCGTCGTCGTCGTCGTCGTCGTCGTCGTCGTCCCATCGATCCATCGACCACCGCCCGCGCCTCCTCATCATCGCCCTCGACCTCGCTCGTCCGCGCGAGCTCGCTCGCGCACCTTGAGCATGGACTGCAACCCGTACGGAAGTCCCCCCGACATCGCGCGCGACGTTCGACCGATCCCGCGCGCGTCGACGCGTCTCGGACTGACGCTCGCCGAGCGCGATGCGCACCGCTCGCCTCGGCGGCGTTGACCGGCGTCGACGTTTCATTCGCCCGCGCGCTCGACGAGCGCGATGCGCGCGCGATGCGCCGCGGGCGGAGGACGGAGAAAAATTATCGCCGTCGATCGCGCGCGCGACGTTCGGGCGTTCGGTCTCGCGCGCGCGCGTGGACGGTCGACGACGACGCGATGGCGCGCGCGCGCGAGGACGATGGACGCCGCGGCGTCGTCGGCGGACGAGACGGCGCGCGACGGTGGGCTCACCCTGGTCGTCGGCGGCGCGGGACGGGTCGGGAGATTAGTGTGCGAACGTTTGCGGGCGACCGGGAGGGCGGTGCGCGTGGTGACGCGAGACGCGGAGAGCGAGACGGCGCGCGCGCTGCGGGACGCGGGGTGCGAGGTCGTGGGCGGGGACGTCGGAGACGAGGCGTCGATGCGCGCGGCGTTGAGCGGGTGCGAGGGTGGGTGCGTTATCGCGACGTTTGGGGCGCAGCGGATCGGTCGGGTGACGGACGTCGTGACGAATCCGTCGCTGCGGGACGCGAAGCATCCGAGATTTGTAAACTATTTGGGCGTGGCGACGCTCGCGCGGTTATCGAGCGAGGCGGGCGCTAGAAAGTTCGTTCGCGTCACGGGAGCGTCGGTGGGGTATCCGGCGTTTGATTTTATCGCGGTTTTGCTCAACGTCGTGCTGTCGATGACGATTCGATGGCAGCTCGCGGGGGAGATGGCGGTGCGCGCGGCGTGCGAAAAGTCATCGATGAAGTACGTCGTCGTGCGACCGGGAAATCTGGCGGATTTCGAGCGGTGCGACGAGGATGAGAGCGGGAACCGACGCGTTGTTCTCGGAAGCGGTGGGGCTCGCGTGGAGGCGGGGAAGATATCGCGTTGTGACGTGGCGGATGTCATCGTCGAGGCGCTCGAGAGACAAGAGTGTGAAAACGTGACGCTCACCGTCGCGGGCTTGACAAATCCATCGGGCGGCGTGCGAACGGAGCTCTCTTGGGATCCCGCGAAAGGGATGCACTGGCGCACGGTGGAGACTGACGCGACCGTTCGCGAGGGTCGAAGCTACCGCGAAGATTCTATGTGGACGGCGGTGACGCCGGACTCGGATGCACTCAAGGAGAAGGCGCATCGCCGGTATGTCGCAATGTTTCTCGCCCTTCTCGCCGGCATCTTCGTCCTCCTCGCTCGAGGCGTATTTTTGCTCGTGCGTTCGTTCATGTAGTCATTATTCGTTGTAGTGAATCGTGTATTAGTAGTATTACGGAGCAAAATCATCGTATCGCGGACAGTCTAACGTCAAACAAAAGCGTGCGGTTGAAGTCTCGCAACGTCTGGTTGTCCAACACAAAATCCAACGCGCGCTGACCGCCAAAGCTCGACGGCTTCGGCCCGACGCTATATCGCTGCGACTTATCTCGCGAATATCCGAGCTTTTCCTCCAATTCACCCGGGATCTCGATCCTTCGCACGCCGCCGACGCGCATGCCCTGAACCGCTTCCTCGAAAGCCGGAATCGCTTCGCCGGCGCCGAGCGTGAAAACAAACGGCTCGTCCGTCTCTCTCGTGCTCTCGATCTTCTTCGCCTGATACCCCGCGGTGTAGCCGACCCAATCACACACCACGCGCTTCCCCAACCGCGCCTCCGCGCCCTCGCCCACCTTCAAATCCAAGAACCGCAAGCCGCTCTCCGTGCTCACGAAGCGCGCGTCCCCCTCCGCCAGAGCGCTGTTGGAGTCCGAGCACGTCTCGCACCCGCCGTCTTCCTTCGCCCGCGCGCTCGGCGTCAACGCGAGCATCATCGCGAGCGCGAGCGGTGCCGTCGTCACCGCCCGACGCGTCACGCCGAGCGCGTCGTCGGCACTCGGCCGCATCGATCGCGCCAACGACCCGAGTCGCGCCCTTCTCGCGCCGTGCGCCCCGCGCGCGTCGCATCGACCACGCGTCGGCGCGGACGACGACGACGATCCATCGCTCGAGCGCTTCGTCGGCGCGCGAGCGCGCGAGAGGCGCGCGCGCGTCGTCATCGACGCGGTGTTCATCCTCGTCAAAGCGCGTCCCGGAAGTGACGTCAGCGCCATCGTCGCGCGCGAAACGCGACCATGGGCTCGGCGCTCGGACGAATCGCGGAGGAACAACCGCGGTACGAGGTGATGCACGCGCTCGCGCGAGCGGCGTACGAATTGCGGGCGTACGAGGCGTGCTGCGTCGTCGAGACGTCGTACGAGAGCGCGAGAGGAATGGTGCGAGGGGACCAGGGCGGGAGCTTCATGCGTTTGGCCAAGTTCATCGGCGTCATGAGCGCGCCGGCGAACGATCGTCGGGAGAAGATCGCGATGACGTCACCGGTGTTCATGTCGCCGGAGGGGGAAGACGGGGCGGGGCGGTACGTGATGCAATTCGTGTTACCGAAGAGCAAGTTTCCGGGAGGGGCGAGCGAGGCGCCGGCGCCGACGAGCGATGGAGTCGTCGTGAGGGATCTTCCAGCGCGGTACATGGCGGTGCGACGATTCTCGGGACGGATGAATGAGGATTTGGTGATGGAGGAGATGAAAAAGTTGCGAGAGGCGCTGCGGGCGGACGGCGTGCTGCTCGTGAACGGAGAGTCGACGCCGACGCAATACGCGGGGTATAATCCACCGTGGACGCCGGGTCCGATGCGTACGAACGAGGTGATGGTGGAAATTGATCCGTCGTCGATTCCCAAGCTCGAGAGTGCGATGGAGTAGGATCCAGAACCTGTACGTGAATGTGTTGCAATGTTTATGATACGACCCGCACCTGTAATGAATGAATGAAACATTCCGTTCTTATCAAGTTTTACATACGCGTCGCGCAGCGCTAAGTAACTAAAGATTCCGTCGTCGACAGAAACGTCGTACGAACTTCTAGCCATCTAGGATGGTCGCTATGTTTGTTTTCAATTCCGTTTCGCACGGCTTGGACTTCCCGTTTGCGTCCACTCCGAGCGAGCTCTTCGACGTGTAATCGAACGACGTCTACGGCGACGTCAAGTCGCCCTTCCACCGTGTTTTTGGTATCAATAGAGATTAATCGATCGAGGGCATGCAGGAGCGTCGCCGTGTGAACGGAAGCGCTGGCCATAATGGGCTGGCCGGCGCACGATTTCGGCACCGTTTCCGACCCAGACTCCTTCACCGGACTCGCGTACGCTGAAATGGGCATTTGCCAGCTCGCTTTCCCTGGCGCTCGAGCGACGGTTTTCGACGGTGAACGTCCAATGACGGATGTTGATCTTTGAATTTTATTCGTCGCTCGCTTTACCACTTTGCCCGAGCCGCACGCCTTCAAGAGCTGAAACGCCGCGCTTTGCTCTGCGCGAAGTCTATCAATACGATTCTTCTCTCGATCAGCGCGCGCCTTGGACCACTCGTATCTGGTTATAGGATCGAGTGCCTCCAGGACCTCATCCTCGATGTTGGACAGTTGTGAAAGCGTCTGCAAATCTTTTGACGCTTCCTGGGACGCCGCGATTGCCGCCGCCGCCTCTTTACTCGCTCGCCTCGTCATCACTCCACTGTCCACAGACGCTCGCTCGCGCAGCCACGATGGATCCCAGCCGTCATCTCGAATGTTGTGCATCGTCGCATCGACGTTCACACCCTGCGTGTCGACCATGATCCACTCGAGCGCCTGCGCTACGTCCGCAGGCGATGCCTGCGATGACGCAAATTCATGTCGCTTCCATAGATTTCTCGTCCCCTGCACGTCAACTAAGGCCTCGCAAGCGCTCACGGGAACAATCCAACGCTCGTCGAGGATTGATTCCAGCGCGCCGTAAGCCTTGGCCGACATCTTACGAATGTCGGCATCCTTCGTCTTCCTGTCCGCCATTGCGCGAGAGACGCGCTCAAAAACCACTCGAATTGCCCACGTCTCGCGCAATTTCTCCTGCGTCGACACCCCCCCGGTCCCATTCCACGCCGTCTCCACGATGAGATCCACTAAATCCATCTCCGTCGCCTTTCGGCCCTTCCCTCTCCTTGGACTCGTGCGTTTGGTCCCGAGCGGCGCGTGCGCCGAGCAATCCACCAACGCGCCAGCCTTCACGCACGCAGATATCCACGACGCGCGCACGCACATCGTCTCCGGCTCCTTCCCACTCGCGTACCGCTCCCGCGCCTGCGCGTCCATGGCGCCGTAATCCTCCGCGACGTGCACCGTGACGCCCGCGCCGCGCCCGAGAGCGAGCGCGACCGCGCCGCCGTGACGCTCCGCGAGCTCTCGCGCGCGTTTCACCCCTCCCGGGACGAACCCATCGAAGTAAAACGTGTGCTCGGCGAACAAGGACGACGATGCGTCGCTTCCTCTGGACGCGCGAGCGCGCGTGAGAGCGTCGTCGCGACGCGCACGCTTGGTGTTCGAGCGCCCGGTTTCGTTTTCATCGTCGTCGAACGGAGAGTTACGCCGCGCATCGAAGGCTCTCGGGACGGCGATGTCCCGTACGCGACCGCGCCACGGCATCGCTCTGCTGTGACCGCCGCGCGGTCACACGCGCGCGCGGCGGACGGTGACGATTGATGGCGTTCGCGGCGCGCGGCGGACGAGAGACGACAAGCGATTGGGTCATGAGCGACGGTGATTCACGGCGTCGCGTCGTGCGTTGAATCACATGTGCGCGTTCGCGATGATGGTACACTACAATCAATAATCGGGAAGTCCGTAGGTGACGAGCAGGTATAATCCGCCCACCCAGAGCGGTGCGATGAGCAACGCCTCGTTCATGGTAAACGTCGCTTCCTCCTCCTTCGCGTCAAAGTACGCGCTCCGAGCGCTCAGGTAGGCGATGATGTACCATCCCGGCCAGCGTAATCCTCGTCCCCACCACCACGTCTTATTCTTATACTCCAAGTACCCGTCGCCGTCGCCCGCCTTTTTGTGCGCCTCGGAGAGCGCCAACCACGCGCGTTGATTCAATTTGTACTCCCTCGGCACCAGTCGTTCCACCTTGGACATCTCCGTGATCGCCGTCGCGGTATCGCCGTTCGCCAACGCGGCCTCGCCTCGCTTCAACGCCGCCTTCGCGAGCGCCATCGTCTCCGCGTCCCGCTCCGCCGGCAGGAGCGACGCGAGCCATCGCGTCGAACCCACGCCCACGTCCTCGTCCCGATCGCCATCGGTCGCGTCGCGGACTCGGTGAGCCACGGAAACGCGACGAGTTCCCCGATCGCGAGCGCGCACTTCCCCGCGAGCGCCGCGCGTCGACCGAACACCGCGTCATCGACGCCGTCCGTCTACGCCGCGCCCGTCATCGTTCGCCCCCGTCGCCGCCCCTCGCCCTCGCGCCCGTCGTCCGCCGTCCACGGGCGTCGACGCCTGACGTCGTCCGCGCGCCGCGCGCATCGTCCCCGACGCGTCGCCGAGCGCCGTTCGCTCGCCCGCGTCGTCCCCGTCGGCGTCGTCATCGCACGACCACGCGTGGACCAATCACAGTCGAGATCTGATCGCACGCGACCCAATCAGATCGCACCCAACAGACGCCACGACCCAATCACATCGCACCCAACAGACGCCACGACCCAATCACGTGCGAGGACACGGTCTCCACGACCCAATCACGTGCGAGGACGCACGCTCCACGACCCAATCACGTGCGAGGACGCGCCGGGAGCCAATCACATCGCGCGCGTGACGCCACCCCACGCGCGCCGCGACCGCACAGGACGACGCGACGGCGACGATGGCGAAGGCGACGACCGTGATCGCCCTCGCGTGCGCCGCGCTCGCGTCGAGCGCGTCGAGCGCGGACGCGCTCAAGCTCGCGGAGACGTTCGACGACGGCGCGCTCGGGGGATGGACGCACACGGGGGCGGAGAAATACGGCGGTGCGTGCGCGGCGAGCGATGGGTGGGCGAGCGCGCGGGCGATCTCCGCGACGGGATCTCGGCGGCGTCGGTGGGACGCGGCGCGACGTAGGACGGACGCGAGTACGGTGATGGGGTGGGAAGTGACGCGCGAGACTGACGGGGGGCGAACGATGGGTTTCACGACGCGTAGGGAAGGCGATCGCGAAGAAGGCGAAGGACACGGATGACTACGGGTTGTACTTTCCGAAGGAGGCGCAGCACTACGGCGTGTCCAAGGCTGCGTCGTCCACGATCGATCCCGCGAACGGTTTCGCGGTTCAGTTCGAAGCGAGGCAAGAGGAAGGCCTGGAGTGCGGTGGGGCGTACCTGAAGTACCTCGAGGCGGACACGTTCGACGCGGAGAAGTTTGACGGCGAGACGCCGTACGTGCTCATGTTCGGCCCGGATAAGTGCGGGTCCACGAACAAGGTGCACGTCATCTTCAAGCATAAGTCGCCGAGCGGTGAGATTGAAGAGAAGCACCTGAAGAATCCGCCGCGCATGCCGACGGATGAGAAGGTGCACCTCTACTCCCTCTCTGTCAAGGCGGATAACACGTATGAGGTCAGCATCGACGGTAAGTCGGAGCGCACGGGGTCTTTGTTCGAGGATTTCGAACCGCCGTTCAACCCGCCGACGGAGATCGATGATCCGGACGATACGAAGCCGGAAGACTGGGTCGACGAAGCCAAGATCGCGGATCCAAAGGCGAAGAAGCCGGAAGACTGGGACGAAGACGCCCCGGCGACAATTCCGGATGAAACCGCCGTCAAGCCGGAAGACTGGCTCGATGACGAACCAAAGGAAGTCGAGGACGACGAGGCCGTCATCCCGGAAGACTGGGACGTCGACGAAGACGGCGACTGGGAAGCCCCGATGATCCCCAACCCGAAGTGCGCCGAGGTCTCTGGCTGCGGCGAGTGGGAACGCCCGACTATCCCGAACCCTGAGTACAAGGGCAAGTGGTACGCGCCGATGATCGACAACCCGGCGTACAAGGGCGAGTGGAAGCCGAAGCAAATCCCGAACCCGAAGTACTACAAGGATGAAACGCCGCTCGCCAACATTGGCAAGATTGGTGGCGTTGGTGTCGAAATTTGGACCATGTCTAAGGGCTTGGTTCTCGACAACATTGTTGCCGACGAAGACATCGAAGCCGTCACCGCTTTCGGCAAGGACGCCTTCGAAGCTAAGTCCGCGAGCGTTTCAGCCGCCGTCGAAGCTCGGGAAGAAGAAAAGCGCAAAGAAGAGGAGGCTGGGTCGAAGTCTCCGATCGGTCTCGACTTCTTCGCCGGCCTCGCGAACAAGATTCCGGGTAAGCCTGGTGAGTTGGCGCAATCCTTCATGGACAGGTGCGCGGACAACGCCGTCATCTACTACCTCGTCTTCTTCGCTATTCCGCTCATCCTGATCGCGCTCACCATCGGTGCGAATTTCATGCGCGCGTCGCCGGAAGAAAAGAAGAAGAAGGCCACGCAAGCCAAGGCGGCGGCAAAGAAGAAGGATGACGACATCCAAGAGGACGACGATAACGAGGGCGACGAAAACGAACCTCCGGTCGAAGAAGAAGCCGAGAAGACGCCAAGCAAGCGTCGCACCAAGCGCTTGTCGTAAGCGCGATACGAAGTATGTCATAAAACGCCAGACATCCGACTTAACGCTCCAGCTCCAGATCAGCTCGCAACGAAAAAAGTCAAACGCCCCAACAACCAACCGTCTCGGAAAGGTCAGCCCCGCCTCACTCCCCGACTCTCCCGTCCGTCATGGCCGTCACCGCCATCATCGGTCGCGTCCTCTTCTCCTTCGTCTTTCTCTTATCCGCGTTGGAGAAGTACCGCGCCTTACGCGTCGACGGCGCCGACGCGGCGGTCGTCCGCGCGGTCGCCCCGGCGCTTCGAGCCATGAAGACGATCGTCAACGACAACGCAGGCATCGATCTGTGCGCGCTCATGCCGAGCGATTACGCGAGCGTGAATATAGCGACATGGGTTGAACTTCTCGGTGCGTCTCTGTTCGCGTGCGGGTACGCGCTGGGAGCGAAGATGCTGTTGCTGTTCACCGTGTGCGTGACGCCGATCATGCACCCGTTCTGGCGCCGAGCGGGCGAGAGCGCGTCGATCGAGGACGAAGCCGCGATCGGGGTGGAGATGATCATGTTCTTTAAGAATGTGGCGCTCGCGGGCGCGCTGGTGTTCTGGTTGGCGATGCGATCGGAGCTGAGCGAGGAGCGGCAGCGACGAAAGGCAAAGCGCGCGTGAGTCGTCCGAAAGACGGAAGACAAAGACGAGAAACGACGCGATAATTTTAGCCCCCGCGCGCGGAGACGATGACGACGCGCGCTCGTAGTGATGTGAACGAAACAAACGTGTGAAAACGCCTCGAGGCGAAGCCCCCCGTCAACAGTAAGCCAGTCCAACGCAGTCGACGCATTTCGCGCCACTTCACGTCCGCAACCTCGCGTCGGGCGTCATGCGGGGCGCGCGCGAGCGCGTGGTAACGACATTCGTCATCACCATCGCGCTTGTCGCCAGCGCGAGCGCGCAGGCGACGAACAGAGCCGACGCGTTCGCCATTGCAGGCGAGCGAAACGACACCGTGCTCCCGCTCCCGAAGTCGATTCCCTCCGTGAAGTACGCGGAGATGGAGATGAAGCTCATGTCGACCACGCGACCGCACGTACTAGGGGTGTTTCCGAGCGAGACGTCGTCGTACTGCGAGCGGTCGAGCGTTAAAGGGGACTGGAGGCGATTCGCGCGAGTGCTCGATTTCGCCGGAAAGGCGACGGAGGAGGGCGAGACGGAGCCGCCGACGGTGTGGGAGGCCACGCACGAGGGAAAGGAGGTGTCGAGAATCGTCGAGGTGAAGTGCTCGCGGACGACGCGGCAGCTCGCGAAGCGACTGAGTTGCGGGTTCATCGCGGTTGCGAAGAACAATGACATGGCGGTTTTCCCAGGTAACTCGAGCGACGGTTCGGCGCTCGCGGGATGGTTGAGCGATGAGCTGACAGGGTACGATGATATAGAGGTACTGAAGACGAGGCACGAGGTGACGGAGTTCGTGGAGCGAAATGAAACTGTCGTGCGCGCGATTATATTGGAAGAGACGCCGTGGTTGAAGACGCTGTCGTTCTCAGGTAAAGTGGCCGTCGCGCGAGCGTCCTCGCTTGTGGGCTCCAAATATTTACACGGTCTATCGTACTATCGAACGGGAATGGGTTGTTTGTTGTTCGTCCCGGACATAGAGCGCATGAACGACGAGGATCGATCAAAGCGAGTCGATGTGCGGATCATTGAACGCAAGAACAATACGTTGAATTTCTATGACGTCGCCGAGGCGATAATCAACGCCGAACTAGAAATCGGATACACAGCCATGGTTGAGTCGGCAATCGATGTTGATTGCGCGAACGCGGTGTGGACGCTAGCCTCAAATTCGATTCATCCCGAGTATGCGCTGGCGGATGAATCAGACGAGGAGTCAGAATCATACAAAGTTATAGCGCCGCCAAAAGCGTGGGATATCATTAAAGGCGACTTGCTTGACTTGTTGGATGGGCACGGAAAGGGCGATAAAACGTTGGTACCTAAGCAATGGTTGTGCGGTCTTGCCGGTCTCACCGCAGCGCATCGCGACGTTGCAAACGAATTCGCTGAGGCCGCGACGGACTTGGCAGAACTTGAGACACTTCGAAAGGAAAACCTCGCGCTTCGACAACGGAACGCCGTGCTAGAACGCGAAGTAGCCAGGTGCGACTCGTCAAGAGGACCGAGGGCTCCCCGTGGTTCAGCTCGTTTGCCGAAGGCTAAACCAGCAGGGTGGGGATTTGAGGACGCGAATGAGCGGAGTCCGCCTATCCCCAGAGTGGAACGTCCTGAGAGAGACGTTGTGGAAGAAATAATCGATGAAGAAGAGCAGGCAATGGAAGAAACGGCAACTGTCGACGATTATCGGGACGCTTCCAGCGTACCAGTGAGAGATGAATTGTAAAACATGTTTATCATTGAAACAATTAATCATGACTTTCCCACCTCATTTATTTTGCCTGGTCCTGGCTCGCGCTGAACAAGAGGGCCGCTTCGGCTTCAGCGTCTTGGCTCGTCATCGGGAAATTTGGCCAGATAGCGGCCGGCTGAGACGCATCGGGCGTGATGGTTTCCGTAGGAGATGACTGGGACATACCCAGTGTAATCGTTCTGGCGTTTCGAGCTTCTTGCGCGTCACGCGGACAACGAGGACGCATCGGGACCGGTTTTCCAACGACATGACTTGTAGGCGTAGGAGCAGCTGACGCAAAACCACCCAGCATCGATGGCATCCCAGAAGCCAAACCGGAGAACATGGACATCGTGGGAAAGAAGCCTGTCGGGTTCGCCCGTTGAGGTGTCGGTCGTCCACAAATGGCCTCGCGCCATGATGGGATTTTGAGCAAACCATCCGCGGCGAGACGTACCCTAACGTCGTCGCTTACCAAAAGAGCTCCAACCACGTCGTTTAGACCGGTTTTGATTATCGATTCACGCGCCGCGGTGCCATGTGTACAGGCGAGATCGTGGAGGAGTCTGCAAACATTCAAGTAAATCGTATGCTGATCGAAAGACGGGTCAAGAGACTCATAGAGTCTGTTCGCAATACTCTCCAGACTTTCGAGTTCAGATTCATAAGAGGCTCGCTGTTGAGTCGTTGACACCGAAAGAGGCCGTGTTCGAGCTATCGGTTGCGAAGGCGGTCGCTGCTTCTTCGAAGACGGTCGCTGCTTCTGCGGTTTTTTTAGCGTCAATATTGGAGCCGCGGGAACACGGTTGTGAGTCAATAAAGGAGCCGCAGGTACATTTTGCGGTTCATGCAAGTCCAGCAACGAGCCAAGCTGACTCAGAGGGCCAACCATGCCTCCAGTTTCAAACGGAAAGAGAACGTCCGACATTTGTTGAGAATCGAAAAGTGGTTTTGACTTTCGCACGCCACTTCGAGAGCGGCCACTGCGCGATCGCCTCGCGCCCTTTTCAGCGATTTGTGAACATGGATGCGTTCGTGTTTCATCTTCCGGCTCGTCTCTTCCAGACAATTTGGCCAGATCCTTCGACGGGCGCGGTCGTGAACTGCGGCGCAGCGAAACCTCCGATGTCGTTTGCTCTTTTTCCACCTGCATTTGTTGCTTTTCCTTCTCCTCATCCTGTTGCGCTCTTTCGTCTTCTGATTCTTCGCCCTTCTCATATTGTTCATGCTTTTCTTGTTCTTCAGTCTGCTGCTTTGGCGCGTATCTGCGCGTGGCACGCGTGGGAAGCTCGCGAGTGGCAGCGTGCGCTAACGTCGAGAGCCAAGCCGCGGGACCGCTCTTTGATACCTGTCGAGCCGACGAACCAGACTTTGCGGAGTTTTCAGATTTTCCGGACTTCCCGGAGGATCTGAAATGTCGTTTATTCTTGATATTTTTCCCCTGCCTCGTATTCGAATCGTTGCGCGCTCGTTTACCTGTGTTCACTCGCTTCTCTGCGGCTCGCATCGCTGAGGAGTCGTTGTCAAATGGTCTCGAGTACACCCGCCGGCGACCGACTTTCTTCACCTCTGTGCCCTTCGACAGCTTCACCTCGGCTCTGCTCGGTACCGTCTTTGGCGTTGTATCCTTCTCACGACACGTCGGACACGCGTACGTCTCGCCGCTCAAAGCTCTGCATTCATTTTCTTCTTCGCATTGATGGTGCGTGAATCGATGACAGTAATCGCACGGGATCCAATACGCAACCTTCTCTCCTTCCGCCCCCCTCTTGAACGTCGATTCACACCACGCGCACCACCATCCTCGCTTGTAAATCATCCCTATGAGCGCGTCGTCACGCGTCGTCAATCTCTTTTCTCTCGTCGATTCGTCCTCCGCGTCGCGTCTCGCCTCGTCTCGCGTCGAGACGCACCGCACGCGTTACACAAATCCAACAGCTTCCCGGATCGTTCATCTTTCCACCCCTTCCGCCACATCGGCGTATCCTACATCGACGACATCACACGTCTCGTCAGTCCGAGCACGCCGCGACGATCCTCCCTCGCGTCACCGCGACGCGTCTCCGCGCGCGCGTCCGCGCGCGTCGCCTCCCGCGCGCGCGCGCACCGACGTCCCGCATCCCCCGCACGTCTTCACCGCGCCCCCCCCCCGCGTGTCGTCCTTCTTCTTTTTCATCTCCCGCGACGTTCGCGTCGACCTGTGCCATCGTCGTCGCCGCGAGCCGTCGTCGATCGTCGGCGTCTCGGACCGAGCGACGATTCGTCTTCACCCCTTTTTCCGATCGATCGCGATCGATCGCGTCGACGCGCGCGCGCGTCACACCGCGTCGAGCGAACGGATGACCACGCGGGGAGGACGTCGATCGACGCGTCGCGTGATCGCGGCGACCGTCGTGGCCGCGTTCGCCGCGTTCGCGGGCGCGTTCGCGGGGGCAAAGGAGGATGGATTGGCCTACCTCGAGGTGCGATCGAGGGGAGATCTTCGCGTGATGCGTCGATCGAACGACGCGATGGGACGGAAACGACGATGCGGGCGAGGAGAGAGATGATTGACGACGATGCGGGCGCGATGAACGACGCGACGCAGGCGAATAAGCTCAAGGAGGGCGTCACGACGCTCGCGAGCGGATTGCAGTATCGCGTGTTGAAGAGCGGCCCGGCGGACGGTCCTTCGCCGTCGAAGTCGACGCGATGCAAGTGTCATTACTCGGGGCGAACGATCGAAGGCGAAGAGTTTGACTCGTCGTATAAGCGCGGTGAACCGACGACGTTCGCGCCGAATCAGGTCATCTCGGGCTGGACCGAGGCCATGCAATTGATGAAGGAAGGCGACAAGTGGGAGCTCGTCATCCCGAGCGAGCTCGCCTATGGCCGAAGCTCGCCGACGCCTCTGATCAAACCAGACTCCGTGCTCGTGTTCGACATGGAGCTCGTCAAGGTTGGCGCGTGATCGGACCGTGATGAATAGTCCCGCGCGCATCGTTCTGCACTTATGATGGAATAGCAAAGATTTCTCCTTTTTTTATGAAATGAAACGTTTTCGACTATAAATACAGCCGAAGTGAGATTCGGCTTGCGCACATCGTCCATGAATGCTTATGCTTACTTAGACGACATCATGGCGATAAATTCGTTGAAGTCGATGCAACCATCACCGTCCGTGTCGGCGCTCTTGATGAGGCTGCCGATGTCACCCAAGTTGGCCCGTTCAACGTCCGTCATCTTCTTGAAGGCTTCCTCAAACTCTTGTACCGTGATCGAACCGTCGCCGTCCTTATCGAAGTAATCGAAAGCGCGTCGAACGGCATCGTTTGATTGTTGCTTGGACGTCGCGAGCGTCGCCGCGATGAACTCTTCGTAATCAAGCTCGCCGCTTCCGTCAATGTCAATTGTCTTCATGATGGCTCTGAGTTCTTCCATCGCTGGTCCGGCCGACTTGAGCTTCAAGCCCTGACGAAGTTCGTCGATGGAGATGGTACCAGAGCCATCGGTGTCGAAGCTCTTGAAGAGCTCCTTCAAGCCAGCGACCTCGTCCGAGGTCATGGTCTTTGCCATGGCCATGAGACCCATCTTCTTGAACTTCGTCATACCGGCAAAGTTCTTGAAGCGCTTGAACACGGTGTTGTCCAGCTTGGTCTTCGGCGCGACGTTCGGATCGGCCACCCACGGATGCTTCAGCACCTGAGCCGCCGTCATACGTTTCGACGGATCCGATTGCAGCATGCCAGAGATGAGCTCCTTGGCTTCGCTACTGATTTTCGGCCACGGGTCGCTGTCGAGATCGAGCGAGCCCTGCAAGATGGCGTCGAAAATGCCTTGCTCGGTTTGCGCCCAGAAAGGCGGAACGCCGGAGAGAAGGATGTAAAGGATGACACCGCACGACCAGATGTCGGCCTCGCGGCCGTATCTGCGACGGAGCACCTCCGGAGCGACGTAGTACGGGCTCCCGACAAGATCAACGAAGACTTGGTTATCGCGGAAGAACGTAGACAAACCAAAGTCGATGGCGCACACCGGCGAATCCCGATCCTTCGTCTTGAGAACGAAGTTTTCGGGCTTCAAATCGCGGTGCATGACGCTGAGCTCGTGGCAGTACTCCACAGTCTCAACGATGGTGCGCAAGGTCTCGGACGCGTCCTTCTCGCTGTACTTGCCCTTTTCAACAATGCGATCGAAGAGTTCACCGCCAGAAAGGAGCTCCATGACGATGTAAACGTGCTTATTGCCTTCGTACGCACCGACGAGTTCGACGACGCGATTATCACCGGAGAGGTGATGAAGGATTCTCACCTCATTTCTCACCTCTTCGATGTCCTCGGCGTTTTGCAACTGCCGCTTGGAGATCGCCTTGCACGCGCACTTACGCCCAGTCGCCTTCTCCGTGACCAAGAACGTCGTCCCAAACTGACCCCGACCCAGTTCATCGTGGAATTCGAACAGATCGTTCACGTCCGGGGTTTCCCGTCCGAGCACGCTCGACGGCCGCGCCGTCTTCCCCACCGGGTTCGCCTTTCCCGTCCGCTCATTCTTCTCCTTGTACTATCCGCGCGAGCGATCGTCACCGTCAGTCTTCCCACGCTCGCGCATCGCATCATCATCGCCGTCCTCACGCCTCTCCCGTCCTCGCCCTCGCGTCCGCGTCGGCGCGCGTTCCACTCGACGCGTCCGCCGCGCGCATCGTGTCAGAATTCCACAATCCATTCGCGATCGCGATCGTCGCTCTCGCCCCCCCTCTCCCACCGCGCGCGCGCCGCGACGCACCGGCGCGTCCTCCGGGGTCGATCCGCACGCCCCCATCGTTCGCGGGCGGTTCACGCGTCGACGTGTGCGACGCGCGCGCGCGACGGCCGCGGCCATTCGATCGTTCCCCGAGCGCGCGCGAGGGACAGTTTCACCAGTCGTGACTCGTCGACAGACACACGTCGATCGATCGACGACGATCGACGCCCGCGCGACGCCGCGCCAGAGCTCGGGATG